AAAAGCATTAAAAAACTTATATTCGGGGCATCTGGATGGCTCAGTGGGTTAAAGCCTCTGCCTTCCGCACAGGTCATGATCCCAACGTCCTGGGTTCGAGCCCCACATGGGGCTCTCTGCTCGGCAGGGAGCCTGCTTCCCTTCCTCTCTCTCTGCCTGCCTCTCTGCCTACTTGTGATCTCTGCCTGTCAAATAAATAAATAAAATCTTAAAAAAAAAAAACTTATATTCATGAATATTCCTAGAAGCTTTATTCATAATAGCCATAAAGTGGAAACATCCCAGGAATCCAGCTACAAGAAAATGGATCAGCTGTGGTATAGTCATAAAATGGAATTCTACTCACAATAACAAGGAACAAACCAGTAACACAGCAGAGATGAATCTCAGGAACACTAAACTGAGTGAAAGAATCTTCACACAAGAATACATACTATATGATTCCACCTATGTGAACTTCTTGAACCGGCAAAATTATTTATGGTTAAAAAAAAAATCAGGTTGGGTGCCTAATTGGCTCGGTCATTAAGCATCTGCCTTCAGCTCAGGTCATGATCTCAGGGTCCTGGGATGGAGCCCCACATTGGGCTCCCTGCTCAGTGGGAGCCTGCTTCTCCCTTTCCCACTGCCCATGCTTGTGTTCCCTCTCTTGCTGTGTCTCTCTCCGTGTCAAATAAATAAAGTCTTTACTTTTAAAAAAATCAGGTTAATTCTCAGTGTGGGGGCAGAGCTGAGTGAGAAGAAGCAAGAAGGAACTTTATGGGGTAATGGTAATGTTCTAAATTCTTCGAGGAAGTTGGGTTACATTCATGTAAGTGTTTGAAAAAAACCATCCAGTACTACACTTATGGGGCTCCTGGCTGGCTCAGTCGGTAGAGTGTGCGACTCTTGATCATGGGGTTGTGGGTTCAAGCCCCATGACAGGTGTAGAGATTACTTACAAATAAAGTCTTTGTTTAAAAATGATACACTTATGATTTGTGCATTTCACTAAATAAAATTTCACCTTAAACATTCCATTGGCTATTAAACCCTACAAGATGCCCTACTGCCTTTCAAGGTAGGGTTTTAGAAACACGGCAGGATAGGAGCTGGACCACTTCTCCTCACTAACTCTATACACGCCCCTTATGGCATTCCCTAAATCACAGGATAAGCCAAAACAACATTTCAGGCATTCGTCCAACTCCTGCACCATCAGGCACCTGGTACCCTTGAGCTATTCCTCCTCTCTCAAACCATATCCCACAGTAGATTCTGAAAGCAGTCATTTAGGTCTAGCATAAATTAGTCACTGGCCTCTATTCTGCTGGGGCCCTTCCAATTTTGCCTCAGCATCTTTCCGTGCTCAGAGATATTTCAGGGAGCAGGAGGAGGGACATGTAGAGAGGTGGGAAGATCCTTCTGTCACTCCCCTTCACCAGCCGAAGCTGCCTGATCTTCAGTGCTTCCCAAAACACACACCAGGGAACTCTCACCCAAAAAACTCACAAGCAGAGCCTGCAGTGCCCACCCATCACAGTGGGATGGAGAAGACTCTGTGTGAACCAGACAGCGTCTAGAACATAGCCTACCACTCAGCTATTCCCCCCTTGAACTGAATATGGAAGACATTCCTGACTCTGTTTGCTCCTTGAACACAAGCAGCTCTGAATGAAATATGCATTAAAACACAGACACAGGGGCGCCTGGGTGGCCCAGTGGGTTAGAACCTCTGCCTTCAGCTCAGGTCACGATACTGGGGTCCTGGGATCGAGCCCCACGTTGGACTCTCTGCTCAGCAGGGAGCCTGCTTCCTCCTCTCTCTCTGCCTGCCTCTCTGCCTGCTTGTGATCTCTGTCTGTCAAATAAGTAATAAAATCTTAAAAAGAAAAAAGAAAACACAGACTCACCTAGAACAGCACCTGACGCACGGATGAATAAATGAATGAATGAATGAAGCAAATATTTAGAAAGAGCCACAGGCATTTTTATTCAATGATAATAGATGGAAGGCCATGCTAGGGGTGAAAGAGAAGGGACATCCCAGCTATAAATTTCAGGAGAAAGGACCAAACTGTTTGGCCAAGTGGCCTTCCCTCCCTAACCCCTGTGAAGCCATTATTAACCTTTCACCTCCCCAGGAGGTGTGGTCCCAGAGTAACAACAGATCCAACCAAATAAACACTGGGGTCCCCCACCCCTAACCACCTGCAGTGGCTCAGCTTCCTGAGCAGATCTCCCTCTGCTTCCAGAGTCACCCCTTTCATTTGCTAATGTCACTTGCTTATTAAAAACAAGAAAGACAGGAGCGCTGGAGCACAAAAGAAGACTTAGCTCCCGGTCATCACGCTAAAGATCCTATGTCCTCCTTTTTAGGGGAGTGCTCTCAGCCTGGGAACTATTTTTCTCACCAGAGGAAAGCTGAGGTGGAGAATAAAGAGGGAAAGAAAAAGCACAAAACATGGAGAAAACAAACCCCTGCAGGCCTTAAATTCAGGGGTGCACGGGACACTCAGGTCTCTCTTATCTGCTCAGCCTCCTCATATCTTAAGAGGCCCCAGGAGTTCCAGGTCCAGAAGCCCAGGAGAAGAACCCATGGGAGCATCCAGGATTTATAATGCTGGTGGCTACCCCCCTCTTGTCTAGGCTAGCTAGCAGCGTTCCCTATGTCCAAATGCCTTTATATGGGAGTAAATGGGCCTCAAAAAAAAAAAAAAAAAATCTACAGCAAAGGGACTAAATTGATCTGACCAAACTGACCATTTGTGTCTTTTGCTTTTTGCATTCTGTGCATTTGCCCTTTGCCACAGAGTAACACTACATCCAAGAGTGCACAGTTGCTCTTCCCTTGCCTTCCTGGAAGCTCATTTTAGCTTCTGAAAGTCAGTGCTGCCAGATTCAGGAAAGCAAGTGAACTGAAACTTCCAGTTTCTTTAGGGGAAGGCAGCTCCTTCTGCCTCCACATTCTGGGACTCTAGAGGTGGCCCTGGAGCTGCCTTGATCTTCTCCTTTGATCTGACTTAAGGACCCCAAGTTAGACTAGTAATTACCAATTCTATTGGAAACAAACTCCCGTCCGTATGCATCCATCGGCCTGCATCAAATAAGATCTTTCTCCATTTTGCTCTTCAAATTGTCCCATTAGGTGGTTTTGTACAAATTCCTGCTAAACGTCCAAATTCTTACCAGGACTCTGTTAAAAACTTCAGTCATTCCTCCTAAGAGACCCCGGTCAGGGGTGATGACCTAGCATAAAGACCACTGTTATCACAGCACACTCCACAGAATACCGTGTCCGCAGTATCCTGCCTTGTGCAGCAAGGCAGCATTCTCTAGCGGGTGGAGGACTACAGCACCTGGTGACGTGTTCAGGGCCAAGCCAGGAGCCACGGTTCACCGCTGCTCCGTGGGCCCCAGGTGGTGGCGCCGTGGCTGCCTCTGGCTTTAGCACAAGTGCTCTGTCACCCTCAACTCCACCCTCCCTCTCTGCCACACTCTATGCTCACCCTTTGAAAGGGGGTGGGCGAACCAGAGAATGCAACCACTAATTCAAACCAGAAAAACGGAGCACATGGAACTGAAAAGAGTTTTTCATCCAACCCGTCTGAAAGACCCCCTCCCTGTGAGAATTCTGGCTTGGCTACTTGGCTCTCCACTTTCAGAGTCAGAAACTTATTTTCTTGGGGCACCTGGGTGGCTCAGTGGGTTAAAGCCTCTACCTTCAGCTTGGGTCATGATCTCAGGGTCCTGGGATCTCTGCTCAGCAGGAAGCCTGCCTCTCTCTCTTTGCCTGCCTCTCTGCCTACTTGTGATCTCTGTCAATAAATAAATAAAATATTTTTTTAAAGCCTATTTTCTTCACTAACTCCTTCAATAAAAGGAGATGAAAGGTATGTGGCTTTGCCCGTGAGCTCTTTCGCTTTTTAACTTTAGAAAAAGTGAGGCAAGTTACCAGACAGGACGGGAATGCACAGAGATGAAAAGCCAAGGTTTAGTCTCCCTGGCCAGGGATGTTGAGGTATCAGCTCTAAGCAGAGAATACACGACAAGGGCCTCTTGCTAACCTCCCCCCACCCCACTCTCTTCTCCCTGGGGACTGAAACAAATGTGTTTTATTTGCTCCATCTAGGAGGAGGAGGATTTATGCACAGAGAGAGAGGAGTTGCTCAGGAGGAGTCAAAATTCAGGGCTGGAACAACTGATAGCTTGTCAACAGCACACGATCAGATGGTCGTCCCAACCCCACACAAACGCAAACAAGCCAGACTGGTGCAGGGAGCTGCCAGGCCGCCCCAGTGCAGCAGTGGGTGTCAAAGGCCGCTTAATGGTGCAGTGATTTCAAATGAAGCTGTTTTACACAAGCAAAAAGTTGCTGTTTTCTAACAAACGGGCTCTCCAAAAAGACTGAAAAGGAGGAATGTTCTCTATTTAGCTAATGGGATGGGATGTGTTCAGAACACCATTTGTCATTTCTTTTTCCCAAGCAGTTAATGACCCCAAACGTTCCACTAGGCCCTGAGTGAAGCCCACCACACCACCCAGTACACAAGGGCACGGAAACCACGGGCTGCTGTCCGCTCCAAGCCTGGAACTTAAAGGAAAAAAAAAAAAAAAAAAGGCAACCAGTTCAGCAGTCCCCTTCCTAAGCGCCCCCATGGTGCCGGGACAGAGGCCCCTGTCTCCTGACCCCAGTCCCAGTGCCCCGGGCTTCCCAGAGCATCACTTTTCTAAGTAGAAAGTTCCTTCCACCGGCAACCTGTTGGCTCCACCAGCTGAGAGAGCTGAGAAATGGAGGCATCCTGGAGTTGGCCCCAGGCAGCGGCCAGGCCTGAAGCTCGGGGTTCGAGCTTCGGCGTCCCGGCAGGAGAGAAGGTCCTGGGAGGACAGCCCTCCTTCAGTAGCCAGGTGGCCACCCAGCCCCTCTTCCCCCGGCTCCCGGGCCGCACACGCCTCAGCGGCCAGTGCTCGGTCCCCGCGGCTGGCGCGGGGCGCCCCTCCCGTCCGGGCCCCGCACTCACCCACCGCCCGGATGCGGAAGCCGCGCGGGGGGCACAGAGCCCGGCGGCACCAGGCGTCGCGCAGCACCTGCAGGCTGGCGGGAGGCGCGTGCACCAGCAGCACCCCGCGCCGCAGCCAGCCCTGGAAAGTCAGCCGCGAGGCGGCGCGCGCCAGCCGCGAGTTCCAGAAGCAGCGCGCGTTGGCGCGACGGAAGGCGCGGAAGACCGCGCGCCCGCCAGGCTCCTCCGCGCCCGCCGCCGCCGCCGCCTCCGGCTCCTCCAGCCTGCACAGCACCAGCGCTAGCGAGCCTGGCGCCAGCTGCACCGGCCGGGCCATGCCGCCGCGGGGGGCCGGAGCCCCAGCCTAGCGCATGTCCGGGAGCGGCGGGCGCGCGGCACCGGCGGTCCCGGCGCCACACGCGGGGCGGGAGGGATCGGCCGACTGCGCGCAGCGCCCGCTGCCGGGGGAACGGGCTCCAGGGGGCGGGGCCGGCGGCGCCCGGCGGCCGGGCGGGGGGTGGGGCGGGACGCGCGGCCGGAGGGTGGCCGCGGCTCGCGGCGGCGCGGCGCCCAATGGGGCTTTCCGAGGACTGAGGGGACTCTCCTCCCTAGCCGGACTCCGCCGCCCCGCCCCCCGTGGCCTCCCCGCGGCTCCCTGCACCTCCCAGCTCCGGGGCAGCCCCAGCTCCCCTACCCCGAGGGGGACGCTCTGGAGCCTTTCCAAGTCCTCGGGGAGCCCCGCCGCTCCCGAGAGCCTCTTTCAACCGCGCGCGAGAGGCACAGCCAGCAGTGCCCGGAACTGAGAGGACAAGGGTGGCCGCCACTGTCCTGGCTTTAGGGTCGCTCCTAATGAGAGAGGCCGCGAGGGACAGCGTGCGGGTGTCGGGGACCTCGCTGGGGCCGGGAGTCCGTCGAGCCAGGTTTGAGTAGGTCTGCTCCTAACCCGTTGGCTCCTCACTGCTCCTCTCTCTGAGCCTCAGTTTACCGCTCCTTACCCCGGGGGCTCCCCGGACTGGAGGGAGAGGGGCTTGTGATCTGCCGGGCCGACTGTAGCGAGTTATTCCGAGCTACGAGCGGTGCTTCCTATGCGGTGGGACAGAGGCTGGAGCCCTGACTGGGGCAACGGAGAAGGGCTCCTGGAGGGAAGAACGGGACGGGAGAGGTAGGGCGCGCGTTGTTACTACTAGAAACTGGCCCTAGAAGAGGGAGCAGAGCTGCTCGGCTAGACCTGGGGTCGTCCCAGACTTCCCGCTCCCTCAGCTCGTCAGTCAACAACCAAAATAACTGGAGATAATCTATACCCCGCCTCCTTGTAAATCATCCTCACAATAAATGAGAGGACTCGATTAAATAATGATAGCTAACGTTTATTTAACTTTATATGCTGGGGGTGTTAATTTTACAACTTGGCGTTAACTCCTGTTAGTATTTCTTTATTTTTAGAGATGAGGAAACTTCAGGCTGGGTGAGGCGTCCTGGGGCGCCTGGGTGACTCAGTCGGTTAAGCCTCTGCCTTCAGTTAAGGTCATGATCCGAGCGTCGTGGGATCGAGTCCCACACTGGGCTCCTTGCTGAGTGGGGAGCCTGCTTCTCCCTCTCCTCCCAGCTCGATATCTCGGTCTCTCTCTCAAATAAATAAATAACGTCTTAAAAAAAATAAAAGATGCATCCTGATCACACAGATAGAGAGTTAGACAACTACCATTCAGGGTTCCCTATGACAAATAAGTATGACACAATTTTCAATTCAAATAAGCATGCGAACCTGAGATGCCATCTCAGGTCGAATTCTGACACTGATGGAGATGGATGGATGGATAAACAACGGGAGAGAGCCTAGATGAACTAAACTCCTGTGTCTGTAGAAGCTCCCTGGGGAGGGCAGTTTCTTCCTCGGAGTTCTCTTTATCATAGCCCTAACCCTGTGGGATCAAGGATAATTTTGCTGTTTCCCACCCTAAAGAACTATGACATCTCTATATCTAGCATTTAGCACAGTGTCTTTCCATTATAATAAGGATTATGATAATTCTCATTTACTCTCAGCTCACTCTATGCCTAGAATTGTACTAAGGGTTTTACATGTGTGATTTAATTTTATCCTCAAAATTAACCCTCTGAAATGGGTAATATTAGAAAGCCCCATTTTCCACAAGAAAAACAAAAGCTTAAATGAGGGAAGCTGGGTGGCTCAGTCAGTTAAGCATCCAACTCTTGACCTCAGCTCAGGTCTTGATCTCAGGGTGGTAAATTCACGACCCTGTGTTGGGCTCCATGCTGGGTGTAGAACTTACTTAAACCAAAAAAGAAAAGCAAAACAAAAGCTTAGAGAGCTTAGGCCAAGAGCCTATGAGGACAAAATGAATGCAAGGTCAAATAGTGATCCCAACATTGTCCGTACACCTGGTTAGACGGGGAAGCCAAAGGACCACACCCCGACTCATGGAACCTGTTGCCTGGTCTGAAAAATTGTCCTGAGCTTGATTCTCTCTCCTAAGCCTTTGAACTGGAAACACACAATAAGGCCCTCATTAGCAGAGCCTGTAGCTGCTGGGATGCTGTCGGGTAGACCCAGCTATGAGATTTCATGGTCTGAACTTGTGAGGTAGAACTCTTAAATTGTGGAAACTTTCATTCAGATGTGTGACATTTCTGTTATCATTTTACTTCAGCTAGTCCAATTAACAAAAGAAGAGGGAAGACTGTAAGGAGGAAAATTTTAAAATACACCCAAATGTGTATCCACTTGTTTTCCCAAAGGATCAGCTACCTTGCAAATATCCCTAAACTCCTACCAAATGGAACTTAAGAGTTAATGGAGGGGGCACCTGGGTGGCTCTGTTGGTTGAGCATCTGCCTTGGGCTCAGGTCATGATCTCAGGGTCCAGGGAGAAAACCCAGCTCGGCTCCTTGATCAGTGAGGAGCCTGATTCTTCTTCTCCCTCTGCCCCTCCCTCGCTTTCATTCTCTCTCTCTCTCAAAGAAATAATCTTTTTAAAGTGTTAATGGAGGGGCGCCTGGCCAAAGTCCTGCAATGGAGCCCTGAATCCGGTTCCATGCTCAGCGGGAAGCCTCTTTCCTCCTCTCCCACTCCCCCTGCTTGTGCTCCCTCTTCGATGTGTCTCTCTCTCTCTCTCTCTGTCAAAAAATAAATAAAATATTTTTAAAAATTTTTAAAAATAAAATGTTAATGGAAAACTAAAGACCTCCAACCTGAATGGCCAGTATTACATGTCAAAACTAGAGAGACAGAAACTTCTCAAGGGTCTTCCATCTTTGTGATCTCTGGAGACCAGACACAGAAATATTTTTTTAAAAGGATTTTGTTTATTAGGGCACCAGGGTGTCTCAATAAAACATAGCCAAGATTCAATATTTGGCCAACTCTGGCACATGAAGCTTAGAGATAGATTTTATTTGGATTAGAGAACTGAAGTTGGAGGAGGCACAAGGACATAGCTGCTCCGTTTGTCATTGCTACCGAAGATAAACTTGATCATCGGATGCTCACATCTGCCTGGGGTTTATCCTAAGCAGAGCATTCAGTGCTCTTCACACTCTGACCCCAGCCCGTCTTTCTAACTTCATCTCCATTTCTATCTTTGTTTTAAAAAGATTTTATTTATTTATTTGAGAGAGAATGAGAGAGAGAGAGAGCACAAGCAGAGGGAGAAGCAGGCAGAGGGAGAAGGAGAAGCAGACTCCCTGATGAGCAGGGAGCCCAATGTGGGGCTCGATTCCAGGACCCTGGGGATCATGACCTGAGCTGAAGGCTGACGCCTCTCCCACTGAGCCAACCAGGTGCCCCTCCATTTCCATCCTTGCTCTCCTCCTGCAATCCACACCAAGGACCGTGTGCTCCAGCTACACAAAAGGACACACCTTCCCATGTTTTGCTCCCATTATTCTATCTGCCTAGAAGGCCTTCCTCCTTCCACCAGGTGCTGTCCTACAAGGCTCAGCCCATAAAACCTGTGACACATCCCAGGGAGATATCATCTGTTCTTGGAGCACATTGTTAACCCTTTTATAACACGTGTGTGTTAAGGGTTGTAACAATTATCTGTCTCATCAGGATTCCCTGGGGACCAGGCTCCTGACTGAGTCATTTCTCTGACCCAGCACATGGCCAAGTACCTGGGCCGTAGAGTCATTCCACGTGAATCCAGTCCAATCGAACTGATCCTTGATCCAGGATTACTCCACTTTTTCTGCTTCTCATGAGTCTGGGATCACCACACACCTAAGCATTTCTGGTCTGTGGTGGATTACAGGAAGACCTAGTTACCCAATAGTCAATGCCAGCGCAAAGCCTCAAGGCACAGGCACACCTAGGCCTCACACACCCAGGCATTTGGAGTTTAGTGATTTCTCTGGAGGCTGTTTATAGCACACATGTTACACTGAGGATGATGTTGAGATTAACTGCCTCAAAATTTTTTCCACACCCAAATTCATCAAGCTGAACTTCCTTCCCCTTACCTCAGAAAATGAAGCCTTGACACTTAAGGCTGAGTTAGAAATCGTTTTCTATCTGGTTTCCCTTTATTATACCATTTCCACTTCTACAGCATCTTTTTGCCCTGTACAGAAGAAAAAGAAAAAAAAATCCTGGAGACTTTTGTTTGTATTTCTCAAAGAAAAATGTGAAGCTTTGCAAAGCAACTGTGTCGAGGCAAAGGCTAGAAAAAAGGAGGCAGGGACAGGAGAAAAGCATTTAATGCCATCTCTTTGTTTTTTTATTTTATTTTTTTTAATAAATGTTAGGGTGTTTTTTTTTAATTTTTTATTTATTTAATTTATTTGATAGAGATTACAAGTAGGCAGAGAGGCAGGCAGAGAGAGGGGGAAGCAGGCTTCCTGCTGAGCAGAGAGCCAGATGCGGGACTTGATCCCAGGATGCTGGGATCATGACCTGGGCTGAAGGCAGAGGCTTTAACCCACTGAGCCACCCAGGCGCCCAGGGTGTTTTTTTCTTAATCATTTATTTATCTGAGAGAGAGAGCAGCAGAGGGAGAGTGAGAGGGAGACTCCCTGCTGAGCACAGAGCCAGATACAGGACTCGATTCCAGAATCCTGGGACCATGACCTGAGCCGAAGGCAGATGCTTAACTGACTGAGCCACTCAGGCGCCCCAAGCATCTGACTCTCGATCTCAGTTTACGTCTTCATCTCAGGGTCCTGAGTTTGAGCCCCACAAAAAGAAAGAAAAGAAAAGGGAAAGGAAGGGAAGGGAAGGGAAGGGAAAGGAAGAAAAGGAAAGGAAGGAAGAGTGAAGGAGGGAGAGAGGAAGGAAGGGAGGGAGGGAGGGAGGGAGGTGGCTTAGAGGAACCTGACCAAAGTTTTGTGAAGAAGGGTCCCTGTCAGCAGCCAATACAAACTCCCTGCACTCTGCCCCTCCCTATTGGTTAAAAGAACTAAC